CAACATGGGAATCACGAGTGCTTATGGAGCTCCTTTAAGTTGAAATGAAAAACCTCTATCATCTGTAAGCTGATCAGTAATAAATAGCCCCAAACGCTGCGCACAAGTTCCGATTTCTAAAATGCGCTTGGCGTTGGGAATGAGCACTACGCAGTGAGCAAAAAAGGCCCAGTCTCACCATCTGGAAAGTGCGAGACCGGGGCAGGTGGTGTCTCCCCTCCACCTCTGTCTAGACCTAAGCCATTAGGTGATTACAGGCGTCTGGGCGGTCCCACGTCCCTCGTGAGAGATGGTCCCTCTGCTGCTGGGCCCCGGTTTCCCCGTGTCCGGGATGGCTTGGATTCCGACCAACGACCGACGACCGGCCGACACACGGAGAATGCCGTCTTCTCTCGATGGCGAGCGACGTGCGGCGCGACCCGCACGTCTGGCGTGCCGACCTGACATGATCATCGGCGCCACTCCGGACTCGGTGCTTACAAACGGTATGTCACTATTCAGCTGGCCAGTATCGGACTGAGTGCCCACGGGAGGAAGATGTCTCGCTAGCCTCATTCCTGTTTAGAAATTTACGAAGATGGTCGTACGAAGCTCCACAAAGCTAGAATCTCCAGTGTCGATCTGCTACGCCGTGTTATGTTATGATATGGGTCGTGAATCCCAACTTGCAATAGGTATACTTCGATGATCGTTCAGATAGCTCGCGTGGGAGCGAGATGAGGCAGACCATAAAGCTACACAACCGATTAAGTCAAACAAAATCTGATAGCAGATGTCTAACATCAAGCTAAACAATCGTGAACCATGGCTAGCTTGAAAGAGCGCGCCGACATATCAGCATGTCCCATTCACTGACGACAGAAACTGTGAGACCGCAGTCGGCTCAGACTCCAGTCCGTCCTCCCATCAGAGCGCGTACCAGCGGGTCGGCTCGGTGCACGTGCGATCCTCTAATCGCAGGACGCCACGGCTGGGTGCGTCCAATGCCGCCATCCGGTCAGACCCAGGGTCATTACCGACCCACCGCAGAGCCATCCAGGCGCCACGGTCGGCTGACCCCGGACCGGTCACGGTCACGGTCAAGGGAAGGGATCGATACGTAACGGGACAGAGGGGATGAGATAAGACGAAAAGCAGGACGGGAGGGAGCTGCAAGGGATGGGATCGGCCATGGAAGATAGGAAGGGGTGGGGCAAATTTAGACGGGGCGGGCCAGGACAGTAAAAGACGAGAGACAGGACAAACCGGGCCTGGGTAGGAAAAGGCGACCACAACAGAACGGGACAGGCCGGGACGGCACAGACGGCACGGGACAAACCCGGTCCAGCAGAGTGGCCGGGCCGATTGCGGCTCCATCCCCGGTTGCTTCACGTCCATCAGATAGCAGCAGTCACGTCCCTCTTCGCCCACTCACTGCTGGCATTGCAGCCGGCTGGCGAGCTGGCATTACAGCCGGCTGGCGAGCTGCCATGTATCAGGCCTCTCTGACTCCATCGTGACTGGGAGTCGCAGCGGAGATGGAGCGGATGACACGCGGTGGGTAGTGGACAGTGGATGGAATATAATGGACAGTAAACGACGGACGGCAACGGCAGCAATGACCAAGCCAGACACCAGAGTGCATAGCTCAACCGCGGCACGTTTGATTCAATTCAAAACAACCGGATAATGGTATTAGCAGGCGGTATCCGGTCGACGGGAGAACCAGGCAAGTCCGGAGCGAGTCAGCAGGCGCGCTGCTCGGAACAGTGGCGGACGGAGTCAGCAGGCGCGCTGCTCGGAACATTGGCGGGCGCCAGGAAAATCCGGCAGCGCGGGGTGGCTGGACGGGGTGGGGGCCCAGGAGCGGCTGGGTGGGACAGAGGGTGGGGTGGGGTGCGGCGGTGACGGCACAGAGGCTCAATACAGAGGGGAGAGGAGCGACCTGAAGCGCCGCCCGGCCGCTCCTCGTCCGTCACGCCGTGCAGTGACTGTCCGCTGCAGTCGAGCAGAGATAATCAGACCCGTCCCGGGCCGGCCTCTCACCGGCGGCGAGCCGCATTCAGCCGCGGCTGTAAGCCGATAACGCCCTGGGCTCCGGCCGGGCCATCCCTAGAGGCCGGCGCATGACTCGGCGGCACGACATTCACCTCATACCGCGCTCACCTCCCTGAATACCGCCTGATGAGCTTAGAGCTGCGGCCGCGCGCTGCAGCCCCTGCACACCACCCCCGCTCCCCTTCCCCACCCCGTGGCCTGCACAGACCGGGCGCCAGGGCACGCGGTCACCGGCGGCAAACCCTTGGGCCAGGCCGCTGCACGGCCCGGACCAGGCGCAGGGGAGCCGGGAGAACACGGACAGACCCGTGTCGGCAACAGGAATGCTGTCCGACAACTTCTCGCGAGCCACCGGGGACGGAACGGGCTGCAGAGCCGACATTCCTGCCCGCAGCGCCCCCACCCCCTCCCCAGTGACCCCTCCGGGCGGCCACAGCGGAGGGGGTATGCACCAACATGCCAGTCTAACCAAATCCGGGAGGTGTTACCGCTCCTCATGGCAGCACCTCCACGGCTCGTTCAGCCGACCAGAGGTCGTCGGAAACTCCCAGACACCCCTGCCCCTCCCACGCGGAGCTCGGGGTGACGGACCTGAACAGGGGACGCCTCACTGCACACAGAACAGAGGAGGGGAGAGGGGAGCCTGCACAGAAGCGCTAACCACCGCATCGCGAGTGCAAACATGTTCTCCGTTGTTTCGCTTGCAATGTTAGTCACTATTGACTGGTCGATAGACAAAGCGAACAGACATCAGACCGTAAATATAGAAGAATCGTGAGACAGAAAGGTCATCAACGCCCGCGCATGGAATATAAAAGCGCATTCACCTTAGCCATAGTTTTAGACACACACATAAACGTGGTCGAGCAATTGCTGGGTGTGTCAGACTGCATTTAGGCAGGCAGCAACAGTATCCGTGAATACCTGCCGTGACAATGCAGCGAACTGGCGTCGTTAACCAGTGATAACGACATTGGCTAGCACCTCATGGGGGAAAGCCGCGTCGATTAGGAGGAAAACTGCCTATCACGAAACACCGTCCACCGTTCTAACGAACGAACTCCGCCGTTCGGCGCAGCCACCACGTCAAACAGCGGCGTTCACAATTGTATCTAAACGTGAGAGTCGGTCGGGGGACGAACTCCTGACCTTCGATGCCGTCCGGCGGCCGACAGGGAGGGATTCCCACGGGCGGGGGAGGGGGCGGGGGAGGGGAGTCGCGGCTGGCCGCCCGGTGAGGTCTCCGACCCCGCGCTGGGCCTCCGCAGACGATGGCGGGCCGGCCGGCCGGAGACTGCAGCCGGTACTAGCAGACTAATACCGGAGACTGCAGTCCGTCACACGGCACTAACACCAACACCGCGAGTACCATCCCGGACACTGCAGAGCCAGACATGCTTGACACAGGACACAAATCCTGCGAGCGTTTATAACATTGGATACCATGAGGCCATGAGCGGGAGGAAGCATGCCACCACTTCCATATCGGTCGAGGCACTGCAGACGCAGCGTGTTCAACGTCCGCCCTATCTCGGCGCCCAGCGGCGCGCGCTGTGACCAGACGGGCGACAGTGGACGCCGTGGTCACTCTGCGGGGCCGGCGAAAGCCGCCGATCTCCACACACGCCCCCATTCTATGATTGATTGCGTCCCGCGCGGACAATGGCCGTGAATCTGTCGGAGGCGCCGGCGGTCTCTGCGTTTTACGGTCGAGCTTTGGCCCGCCGGCGCCGGATCCAGACGCTGCGGCGGAGAAAACGAACGTGTTGAGAGACAATCAGCGAGCGCTGCGGAACTGTTGGACGAATGGTCTGCCGGCGGCACTGGCGGAGGCTGTCTTCTCAGGAATGATCGAGAAAAGGCTTCAAAGCCTCGACCGACAGCGGTATGATGAAGTGTCAAAGACGTAACGAGCAGCGTATGTCGCTCTAACACACAAATCGTCAAAACGTCAGTTGTCCCATCCGGCGGCGGCACTTCCATCTCCAAAGTCAGCATCGCTCACCAGCATCTGTCTGCCGACACCGGCTTTATGAGTCGATGATCGATGCCCGGAAGCTCCACAGTCGAAAACTAGAAACCACAGCGCTCCGGGGCACCTCCAACATCCGCCGGCGGCACATCATCGAACTCCGTTTAGATCGCCGTTGTTTCCTAATTAATCCGACAACGCACGATCAGCGGGAGAAAATGAAATTAGCTCATTATCCACGGCGCGATGAACGCCGATAGACTTTCGCCGTTCAGTACGGAGGTTTCTAGTAAATCGCGACCGACCGTCGCGCCGTCATTGACGGCAGATGCGCCACTGATCGGAGACACGTCAGACGGTGAGGAACGGCGCGTTAGGAGCGCGTGCCGTGCGCGTGCAGGTGCGTGCGACGGAGCGGTGACCAGACCACCCACCGAGCGGCACCGACCAATGTCACGGTGGTCGGTGGTCAGTTAACCAGGGATGGCACACGGCTCGTGTGGTGCCGCCGACATCGTGAAGGGAACGGGCCGAGCATGACCGAACCAGCGAGCGGCGGATGCAAGGGATGCAAGCAGATGCACCATTGCGTCTAAGCAGATGCAACAATGTGTCTAAGCAGATGCAAGGAGAGGTTTAAACTTTGAACAAGCCTAAAGCTTTAAGCATGCCAAAGATATGCTTGGATGACGAGATTTCCTCAAGCCAGGCGTACTCAGCAATAGCAAACCCACCATTGCAGTCAGGAAGAAAAGGAAGCCAGGCATGCAGCCCAGTCATGTTTAACATGGAAAGTATATAAACACTAACCACATGTGAGACTTGTGGTGAGGCTTTGCATGCAGAGTTGAATAGAAATTAGTACACTCGCTTCTAAAGCGCACCATTCGCATGCATGACTGAGCGATCTCGTTACATGAGAACAAATCACAGCGAGAGTTCGCGTGCAATGGACAGAGCCCCATTTGATCACTACTTGATGAGCACTCACCGAGTTTGTTGACATCGGGCTGCGTCAGATGGGAGATGTTCAGCTCCAGACTGTCCGACAGATAGTCGTTGATCCCCTGGGTCACCTTCTTCAGATTGCTGACCTGTGACGGACACAAATACAGAGGTCAGAAAGGTCATTCTCCCGTGACTACCGCGAAAATACCGGATACATTACACGAAACGTGACAGCAATCTCGCAGAGAACGAGTGTTTATAGGAAAATGAGAATTTATCTCTCTTATGAAGCCGGATTTGGAGAGGGAAAACAGCATCCAGTCAGTGGAACACACGGCTGCGGAGCAAATACAAACAACCAGCCATTCGACCACTTAAGAGAGCCATCTCGCACATTCCCCCCCCCCACCCCCACCCCACTCCCCTCCCCACACACACACACTTCCCAGCTGAGCGGCCGTAGTGAAAGTGGTGACCGCCGGGGCCGCCGGTCGGCTCAGCCCGCCCCCACCCGGGCCCGTACGCTCAGTGCCCGTTCGACACCGCCTGACCCCGCGACCCCTCTGTGACCTCTGATGACCCCGTCGGTCGTGCGCGCACACCTCCCGTAAACAGCCGCTAATGGAGCCGGGCCAGGGCGGCGCGGCTCGTCGCCGGCTCATCCCGCCACTAACGAGCCGTTTCCCTTTCGTCAGCGTCACGAGGTGCCCGGCCCTCCAGACAGGGACGGCCGCGGCAGCTGCCCCGGCGGACGGAGGGGAGAGGACCGGAGAAGGCGAGAGGGAGGGAGGGGAGAGTGGAGACATTAGGGCCAGGTGATCAACGACAGAGCCGTTTGGTGACTCAATGATCGCCTGATCACCGGGTGCCCGTCGTGACACGAGAGTCGCCGACCACGAACAAAAGGACCGTGATGAGGTTCGCGAGCATTTTAACCATATGACGCCATGGAGTCTGAAAGGGCTGGAGAGGATAGGTGAGGGGAGAGGGGGAGAGGAGAGGAAGTGAGGGTGGATGTTCTGAAGAGACCGATGGTGATGACGCTGCGGTCAGCTCGGGACAGAGCCGTCAGAAAATTACACCCCTCTTCACTTTCCTCTCCGAGGCGGTGTAGTAAATACATGGCTGAGATGGGACGGAGAGAGTGAATGAATTACATATGAGCATACACGATGGCATAGACCAATTAGAATCTCATCAGGAACGGCCAACTATTACGTCCGCTGTCCACTGGTAAGTTCCGCAGCGCAGTGCTTTCTATCCAACCACCCACGGAACTCCACAGCCAACTGCCAGCCATTCTCCTATCCGGAATTAACCAGCTATCTGTGGTTCCCATGGACAGCCCACCCCAATCTCGGGTTTGATCGGCTCGTGCCATCGGTAAATACCGACAGGGCAGCGGGGCAGCACCGGCAGGTCAGGCCGCGGCGTGTCACACCCCGCGGTCATTCCAAATCCCCGCTCCCGATCGCCACCACGGTCACCACGCGGACACCACCTGCGCTCAACCCGCGTCTCGCGGTTTGCTCCACGGCGCTGGCAGTGACGGCGCACAATTTCGCTGACTCGTGTCCGAGCCCGAACAGGCCCAAACTTTCCCGGAGTGGACCGACATGCCGGCACGCTGACTGGCGCGTTCTCAGGGAGTCCGGCGAGGGGGTGTGGGGACAGCAGATCAGGCGAGCAGCGGGCAGACAAGTGTTTTTGGGTTTTACACGCACGACAAGGAGAGGAACGCGTGGAAAGATTGCGGAAAGTTGACGCACTCCTGCTTTAGCTGGAATTCCGCCGAGATAGGATCAGTCGGTGCTAGACCACTAGATAGTCACTGCGTTGTCCACCAATAATGGTGTAAAAATATAACACCTTTGTGCACGATTCGGGTATCACTTGTGCCACTCAGCGTGTTGTTTACAAGTGAGATACACAAAAACATTCCGATCAATGAGCGAGTTTCTGTCATTTTTTCCTCCCAACGCGCCGACGGGGATCCGGAAACGGGCGTGGTCAACTGAGCTGAAAATTGGCATCCCGCACCGAGCAGCAGACAAACAGTCAAAGGCTGTCAACCGGCCGGACGCGGCGAGGCCGGCAGGGCGGCTCTCAAACAAAGACCCAGTTGGACGGGTTTACATCGGCACTTAGTCGGCACTCACTACCGCGCTCAGCAAAATACGAATTAAAAGTGAGGTCGCAATGTTATATTCTGCACACGGAGCAGCTGCACGAGCTAAAAACCAGTCGAAAACAACGGAAATGCATTTAAGAGAGCATTTGCGCCACCGACATACCAACTCGTTCGCAGCGGAAAAGTAAAAGAACTTGCCAATATCCTATCGTTTTATCACATAATGTCATTCGCCAATACAACGTGTTCCGTTGGAAACAAAGTCCGCATTGGTAAGAGAGCCTCTGTGCCGGTTTTTGTCACGCACAGCTTAACCAGAAGCTGACTCACTTCTACCCTCCAATCACCACGGCGAACTTCTGACGTCACGCGCTGGGGGTTTTTGCCACGGAGTGACCGGTCCCCTAACTGCGGTGTGGGCTCGCCCCTGGCGCCACAGAGGCGGTGACGGAACTCTGTGAGCGGTTGGACTAACGCACGCTTTGAGGTGCATAGAGTTGACCACGGTACACACCTTTCAAACGTCACAAAGGGTTGTCAATGATTCACACGTTACGTGCGATGGACTAACGTTGAACAATGGTGCGTAACCCAATATGTGTAATGGATAAATGGCGGCGAGTGGTTAACTACACACTGTGTGTCGTGAACAGAGGATTGTCAGTCACCACTGATATCCCTGCTAACTCAACCGTAGCCTATCACAGTCCAATCGGCGCCCTCTCAGCCCCGGTGCCTGCCACAGGTCAGGAGGCCGACGCAAGGTTATCGAGCCCGACCTCGACTGTTTGGTTGGCTATGGAACCCGTGCTCCACTGCGGTATACAAACACATCTGGCTGCGTGCCAAAATAGTCAGGGGAAGGAGGCCCAATTTTGGGCCGAATAACGCAAAATTGGGTAGAGCTTAGCAAAGGGTGGTTTCTGGGACAAAAATGACCGCTGAACCCGAATCTGACCGGTGCGCACCTCTAACTAATGTTGCACCACTTTCAGAGCACGTGCAACGGCGTGGTTCTTCTTTTTTGAAGAATGGTACCCTTTTTATATATTTTGATATAAAATTAGTCGTGTAGTTGTGTTGTATTCCAAAACTTTAATATAATGGTCAAAATTCATTGCATAAATGAGAATCATAGTTAACGCATACCGCAGACAATCTATGACGTCACTGTGACGTCATTTATTGGTAGACTGACGGAAAAATGAGGTGTGACAGCAAAACATTTAACTTTATTCACTGGATACGCTCATTGGCGGGTTTAAAATGCATTGAGCATGCTCAGAAAATATCTCCCCGTTGCAAAAAGTAAAAATCGTCTGGATGGAGGTACCATTTTGGCCTACAGGGGCGAAATCCGCGGAGTGTGCGTTTTCACCCCAAATAGTTTTTGTGCAATAACTTTTGATACAATGCTCGCATGTCGTCCATTTTACCATCGTTGTGATTCTCTCACCGAGACGCATCGAATGGTATGCAAATTGGCTTCGATTGGTTGAAATTATATTTTACCGCAGTTCATGAGCTCAAGTCGATTATCACGCTATTGAAGGTTACCTATGACCTGACTGGAAATGGTCATGTAGTTTACCAATTTCTTTGGATTATCAAGATAATCGCATGGAAAATGCTTTCATTGCTCTAACGTGGTTTGATCAAAAGCTATAGCTGAAAAATTGCTGATGACGTTTTCAGGACGTCACATGACAAAATTCAAAGGTGGGTAGGTATAGAAGACAAGTCGTTCATATATGTTGGCGCCGCAAAGCATTCGTAAGGCATGCAGTATGCTTGCGAGATTTTAGAATTAGATGTGTGCTTAACAGGCGTAGTTTTAGTTTATTACGTTGGCATACGTACTTATAAGGTGGGCGTAAATTTCGTCACGGAGGGTTTCACATGTGTTATGTCCCAAGTTCTTATCAATGTCTTGTGGTTATTCATGTTGTTAGACGTCACATACCCGAGCATTGAAGAACACGTAACAACTAACCGGAGAGAATTTGATTCTGATTGGTTGTATTTATCTCTTCTGGTAAACATACACACACACGCACAGGCGAACACACATAATGTAGCACGGCTACTATCAGGAGGCGTTCGGCTGCCGGCCGCCGGCACGGTGACTCCAAGGCCATATATAGTGGTGACTCTGTGCACCCTGGGCGGTGGCGTTCGCCCAGGACGTCTGCCTCGTCCATCCAGCGGACGCGTCTCGTCGTAATGATACAATATGTTCCGTCCGATTCTGCACAGCACACGGCATACGCACATAGGTAGTATCCCGAGTGCTTGGCACCGCCGTTAAGTAGTACGACGCCAACCAGCCGGTACGTTAAGTCGCCGGCCAGGTCGGCGAAGCAGAGCGACTGGTCGTTCTCGACGCAGGACTCGGATAGATGCGCCTGTTCCGATGCGTCAGCCGGCTCTCCCTTCTTCTTCCGCGCACTGCCGGCCGTGCCCTATGGCGCGGCAGACCGGGGCTGGTCCACAGGTGGCGTGGTCCGTCCCACTCGGTCGAGGAGCTCCGTGATGTATTTAGCCGGCCCCGAGAGCACATCCTAGAGAGTAGAGAGCGGCTCCCAGAGCCGGATTCGCGTTCTTGCGCGGCCGGGCACTCGCATTGCAGGTGCGCGACCGCGTCCTCTTCGCCGCATTGTCTGCAGAGAGGGCTGGTGGCCAGGCCAATACTGAAGAGTGTGGCCCGGACCAGGGGTGAGCAGCCGCTGCGGATCTGCGAGACAGTGGTCTGTCCCCATCGGTCGAGGTCGTCGTGGCCAGAGGTGTTCTCCAGATGTGGGTGGTGCTTGAAGCGATCGAGGGTGAGCAGGCCGGTTCAGTGTCTGATGGCGATGCGCGCACAGGCCAGGTCAACTGGGATCCGACGCTGGTCGCCTGATGTCGCCGCGATGTTTGCTAGGCGGTCCGCTTCTCCATTTCCCTTGACCCCCGCGTGACCCGGGATCCACTGAAGACTGATAGCTCTGCCCCCGGCCGCGACAGAGTGCAGGAGAG